AAAATAATTTTTTTTGCAGAATGATTATTGATAAAAGCAGGTAAGTAATAACAATGGAAAAGATGTTCGTCCAAAACTCAAACCTGAAAGAATTTTATCCACCTTTTATCTGAAAGCATGGATGTTTAATTATATGCATTTATAGGAAAGACTGTGGGGAAGTATAATTTGTCTTTATTTAAAAAATATGGATGTTTTGCTCCTTCGTTTTCCTGTAGTGTAGATTGAATGTGAGATTCTGGTGCCAATTCACTTTCGGCCACCCCTCAGTGTACTGTACGTTAGCAATTGCCTGGCCACCCTTATAAAAGTTTTCTGGCTACGCCTCTGGTGCTGGTGCCTATCTCCAGCTGTCTATGTGCTAGAGGCAGGGGTCTGCAACCTGCGGCTCCAGAGCCACATATGGCTCTTTGGACCCTCTCCAGCGGCTCTTAATAGCGGCTAAAATGCATATAAAGAGCTAAATCATTTACTATAATATATACCGGTATCAATAGCTTTAGCTTTTTTTATAAGATGGAAAAGAAATGAGATTAAAAGAACCAGAAATATGTTTTAAGAGACATTTTTCTATGAATTAGCTTGAAAATGATACGTTTTAACATTAAAAATATATGAATTGATTGTTTGAGATGGCAACAACTAATTTCCTATACAAGATTAAAAAAAAAAAGGTTTTCTAGAAAAAGTCATGGTATATTTTGCGGCTCTAAACAACTTTTATTTGGTAGTACTCTGGGCAAAACGGCTCTTTGGATATGACAGGTTGCAGACCCCTGTGCTAGAGGCAGGGGTCCACCCTGTACAGGTCGCCAGTCCATCGCAGGGCAACACAGAGAAAAACAACCGTTCATGCACACACTCACACCTAAGGAGAATTTAGAGAAACAATTTAATCTAACAGTCATTTTTTTTTAACTGTGGAAGCCAGAGTACCCGGAGGGAACCTATGCACAAACAGGGAGAACATGCAATCTCCATGCAGAAAGACCCCAGGGCTGGGAGTTGAACCCTAAACCTTCTTTTTTGCAAGGCAGCAGTGCTACCCACTGCACCACAGAGCAGCCCACTTACAGATTTCATTTTTTTTATTGCTAGCTCTGCACTATTCCAGCAGGTGCAGGAATAGTGGTAGAGGTCTGTCTGCCTGGAAGGGGTCAGTGTGGGTGAAGCTGGCATGTGATGAAGGGGTTCTGCACAGAACATAATTGGGAAAATTATCTTAATAGAAAACATCAACTAGATCAGGAATTTTTGTAACTTCTTAACTGGAAATACTCTCAGGATGAGCAAATCAGCAGCTCCTACATGCAACATAATCTTACTTATCAACCAGAAAAAGAAACAATAATAATAAATAATAATAACAAAGTACTTAATATATAAATTATGAGTAAAAGGGCAAAAAACAAATATCCTGAAAATGATCATCAGTTCCTCCTTCCCTTCTTAAAATAAAATTGCTCCAAAGGTGGCATTAGAAGTAGGTTTGATGTTACCAAGAGTTTCTGATATCATTCTCCCCATGGAGCGACCTGAAATAAATAGTAATGGGAATAAAAGTGTGTGGATCTCTGATGAGGGGTTTACAGCTCAGTTCCTCAGCAGGGGCCCCGCACCAGTACTCTGTGGGGGAAACAGAGTCCCGCTCCAAAGAGGAGACGCTCCCCGGGCTGCTCAGCTCAGGCGCTGCGCAGTGAGGGTGGTGCTCCTCCATGCGCAATGTCTCCGTCAGAGCCCAGATGTAGTTACGGGCGAAGCGCAGCGTTTCTATCTTGGTGAGCTTCGCGTCTTCTGGCAGCGCCGGCAGGATGTTCCTCAGCGCGTCCAGAGCGGAGTTCAGGTTGTGCATCCGGTGTCGCTCCCGGTCGTTGGCCTTCATCCTGCGCCTGCCGCGCTGTCCGATGCGCTCACCGCCGGGTTTAGGCGCTTCTCTGTCATCCATCCTCTGTTGCCGACCCCGCATGTTTTCACTAAAGTCTCCAGATGCGCCTCCAGTCTGCTGGAGCTGGTTGGAGAGGGTTGGAGAAAAGCTGCAGAACGTGCGCATCTCATTCCTCAGTCTGGAAGACATCCTGCGCGCAGGAGCACACCGTTTAATTAACATCACTCCATGAAAGTAACACGCACAAAAACATTTGGGCAGTCCTGGAGGTAATTAAACATTAAAATAATTATAGATTTGTTTTGCCTAATCTAATAAAATTCAAATAAACAACCGACCTGTGTGGATCTGTTTGCTCTGACTCCTGCAGGCAGGTGAAGATTGAATGAAGAGACAGAGCGCCGTCCTCTCCTGTCGCTGAAGGCGTCAGACTCTGTATATGTGCAGCTGACAGTGAGGGATGGATGCGCATCTTTGTCATTTTATAGAGCCTTTATCTTATCTTTTTTCACGGTGGACGCCTGAATCAACAGCGCCCGTTAAATGGCCAATCAGCGTCCAAGCAGAGAGTCCCCCCTGCACTCTTCCTCCATACCCCCCATTCTTTACTGCTTTATAATATGCATTCAGGAGGATGTATGTTATCCTAGAAGCATAAGTGATTACAGGTTGGAAAAGGTCCGATTTCTGTCTTATTTTGAAGGGAAATTACCAATTTTGAACACTTTGAGACCTGGTTTAAAAATAAAGGCTGTTTTGCACAATTTTATTAATAGTTTAGTTTAGTTTTAGGTGATCAATTACTAGATTTTAGTGATAGCAGATTTGCTGCATCTGATGTGAAACATCAGAGGGTTCATGCATGTTTCCGATGCCAGAAGCATCAAAATTCAAACTCCAGGAATTCTTTTGAGGGATCTGAATTAGATATTTGAGCATTTCATTCCAATTATTCTGATTGTTTCCATGTCAGCAGTATTCAAAATGAAATAAACAGATTATTTGAACAATCAATCATTTTCCACATTGATATAAATTCGGTTCTTATCTTTTTTTTTAAGACTTCTGAAGAAATTATCATGTTTGCTAACTACAAATGTATCCATAGACTTATTTTAGTGTTGTTTATTTTTGATTAGCTTTAAATAGATATTAATATGTATTAAAATTGTTCAATTTGAACCCTATTTATCGTTTTATTACTATGCATTGGTTTACACTAGTTTTTTTTTATTTATTAAGAAGACTTGTTTTCTTTTTTTATTATTAATTTTGCTTGCAGGTTTGCCACTGTTGCACATGTCCAGATGCAGCAGAACAATATGTGTTATGATCAACTCTGATGTGCATACTGAAATGTTTAGTAATGTTCACATTAATGCATCTAATTAAATAGAAATTAAGCGAAAATAAACAGCTCTTGTAGCCTACCACCTTGTGCGCATCCAAAGTGTTGGCGCACTCTCTGCATTCTGAAAGACTGCTCATTAAGTCCTCCTGAGAACTTGGCAAACATTTATTAAAACAGTCTTCCCCGGGAACTAATAGGTGGATGAAAAAATAAATCTGAAAAAAGATCAAAATAAGGATTTATGTCCAACCAAATTGTGCCTGGATGACATTTTGCGCAAACCTGCAACGTTTTAAGTTGGTCAAAGGTTATTCCCCTCAACGAAATCCTGACTTTGTTGCACGTTCAGTTGGATTAAGTTGCGTTTTACTGGGGTGTGAGAATCGAACCTATACCTGTGGAAATGAATTTGATGTCTTTAATACACTTGGGAGAAAGAAAGAAAAACCTTCGCTTTCTGCGTTAGAGCGCAAAGTTTCCCTATCTGGAGTAGGACAATTACGCATCGAGCTGCACAGTAAACTGGATTTGGTTTGCCCAAACCTGCAGCGTGGATTGAAAGTACAAAGACTCTTTTTGTGTAAAAACAACACAACGAGCTGAGTTTTTGTGTTACTGTGGATTTTCACCTGTGCGTCATGACATCTCCAAAAACGTGTCCATTTTGGCCACAACCTGATGGCGCATTGCTCTTTATGGCCTGATTTGATTTTTTTAGGAGGTTAAATATTAGTGGAATGGACAACAATGTTCGCACACGCTGAAGCTTTGATTAGATAGACGAGGAGTGTGCCAGATCCCAAACATGCTTTAGTGACAAAGGTTTACAAAGACCTCCACTTAACTTTCTGTCTAAATATGTGTTTTGGGGGCATTTCTGATAACCATATGCTTTCAATAAACTGGACAAATACACTCGTGAGATAGGAGATGGCTGCTGGCTGTTATAAAAGGGCTGGAAAAACTCTAAAGTAAACTGAATACTGCCACTTTACAAATATTCTTTGGTGCCAAATCCATGTTCGGATATCTAGGACAGGTGTACGTTTGGACCTGTCTGTCTGCACTTGATTTTTTTCTTTTTTTTATCGGTGCGCAGCCTTATCCCGCTTGTTATGCAAAGTGTGGGCAAACACGAGAGGCCAGTTGCTGCGGAAATGACAGATATCAGAGCAGACTTGGAGAGAAAGCGAATTAACAATATTTAACAATAAAGTGAACAAGCTGTGGAGCAGGTGATATACCTGCCCGATGCTCCTGATTAAGACTTCCTTTTCCAGTTTATAAGGTTTTCTTTTGCTTACTTATTAAAGCAAATCTATTTATTATTACTTTAGCATACAGAGAAACCAGGTGGGGCTTTATTTTCGTCTTGAGCTTTTTGTTTGAAGGACGTTTTGAGGGGGACAATCAAAGTCCAACAACTCGCTGACCAGATTGTTGTCAACCTGAACCAGCAGCGGAGCCTTTCAATGCGCCCCCCTCCTCTTGTTCGGTCTGCTAAAGAGCTGCTAGGAGGGGGAGAAAGAAGAAAAAGGAAACTTCTTCAAGTGAGGAAAAACATCTTAAAAAACATTTAATTGCAACCCGGATGCCATATGTACACCTCTTGTGAGACCCCCAACAATGTGACTGGCTTTTAGAAACCATAGAGTGCGCTTTTGGAGACATGTGCGTCTTTGGAGAGGTGCGCGCGTCGTGACCAGCATGACCCCCAACACACTTTACACAAGAACTAATTCACTTTTAATGTGCTTTGGGGTCTCCTTTCACAGGCAACGCATTGTACGTCTCACTCCAGCTTTTGAAGGCAGTGTACACCAATTACAGTGGAATTGCTGTTTCTCGAAGACGGCTTGTCTTTTTGTTTGGCGGATTGGACATTTAAGGCACAAATGGCGCAAGTCGCTTCTTTTCAACCCTAAACTACCGAAGAATTATAATTTGATCGCCCATTTATAACTTGAAAGCATGCATTAGTTAGTGTTCACTGTTGAATAAGCAGAAAACGCAGGTTTGTGCAGATGAATAAATATTATATAAGTTATGAACAAATTATTTTTAATGCCTTAACCTTTTACTTAGTAAGGATGGGATTGTTTATATTTCTAAACCTATTTTTATTTTAAATTATCAGGCTTTTGGAAAGTATATTTTGTCTCATTAGGGCCAAAAACATGAGAGATTTTGAAAGAAAATCCCAAAGCATCACAGAATAATAATTTCCTTATTGTCCAGCCATGGGGCACTTCATGTGTCAAAGGTGGAAAGTGAACCCCAAAATATAAAATAATATAATAATATAAATCTGTGCAATAAGGACAAATTTATAACATGAGGAAAAAAGTTACAGTTATTACTGTCATTGATGCAAAGTAGAAGAAAATATGGGAAGTGTGGCTTTCAACATTTTACCAATCTAAAAAGTTTGTCATGCATTTTCTAGTCCGCCACTATGGAAGAAGATTAGGGCCACTGACAAAAAAAGTTAACTGATTTTTAAATATTATTTCAGTTTAATATGGGAAAACAGTCAGAATTCCGGCTTTAATCTCAGAATTCTGACTGTTTTCTCTGAATTCTGAGAAAAAAAGTCAAAATTCTAAGTAAAGTCAGAATTCTGACTTTTTTCTTTTAAAATTTTAAACATTTTTATTTTGTTCAGTGGCCCTAATCCTCTTCCGTATCTTCCCTCTACCCAGATTTCTCCAAATTAAATTTGGTGCAACAAACTCCTTGTAGAAGCGATGTAATTAGAAAGTTACACATTTGTTTTATAAATAAAGCTGTTTGTGTGAATATCTATTAGAGAAGATTCATGAGAATCATGAAAACTAAGAAACTTTGTAAACAGGTAAATCTTATGGAGCAGTTTAATGCAGGGTTAGGTTATATGAGAATATCTCAGCATCTCCCAAAGTTTTGTTCAATCCATCGTCTGAACACAGAAGGAGGATGCACCAACTACTAACCTACTAAGACTCGGATGTCTGACTCAAACAGACTGCTGGGGCAAGTGGAGCCTTAACTACATAAACAGGTAATAACTCCTAGAGTTGTGTTGATCCACAGCTCATATGGGAGAATCTGTCAACAGGAGAACTTTAAGTTTTGCGTGGCGACAGTAGAAAAGTCAAAGAGGATTGACCTACTCCAGAAACTGAACTTGTTGGCCTATCTGCTTGTAAATACACCATCCCTACTGTGAGACACTGTGGTGGCAGCATCATGCTGTGGGAAGTGAAGCTCCATGACAACAGCCTATTCCTGGATGTGTCCTCACAATATGCAGGCAGCAGAGGCGTAGCCAGAAAATATTAACAAGGGTGGCCAGGTAATAACCAATGTAGATTCAGTGGTGACCGAAAGGGGATAGGCATCAGAACCTCAGGGTCAATCTACAATGTTCCAACGGGAAAATTAGCGATAAAAACATCCATATTTTCTAAACAAAGACAAATTATACTTTCCTACAGCCTTTGCTAACAAATAGACGCATACATTTAAACATCAATGCAGTCTAAATTAAAGTTGTAGTAGACAAAATTCTTTAAAATTTTGAGTTTTGGGGTGAAGTACTAATATCTACATAAATTGATTATTTAAAACGTTTTTTATTAAAGGAATAGTACACCCAAAACATGATTAGCCTTCATTTTCTACTCACCCCCATGCTGAACAACACTCTGGAGTACTTTTTTGATATCTCAAATGCATCTGGAGATCTGGGAGGCTTCTTGCTGTCTGCTGACATTCAAATAATGGAGGTCTATGGTGCCCGAGGCAGAAAGGTCCATAAAAGTCCACAAAAAACGTGTCAATATTCCTCCATACTGCTCGTCCAACGTATTCCAAGTGTCCTGAGTGAGCATAAACAGTAGTGTATAGGATTTCCTAAAAGCGCGTTCATGAGTCTACGGAAACCGCGGCAGACCAAACCAGACGAAAGTGCGCACCCTAACCCTAACCCACCCCCATGCTGAACCTTGTTCAGCATGGGGGTGAGTAGAAAATGAAGGCTAATCATGTTTTGGGTGTACTATTCCTTTAAAATAGTTATTTATCTATGATTTCACTAAAGACTTCTAGATGAATGCAGAGGAACATAATTTTCTCTTTACCCCATAAAACACAAAATCTTGTTCTGAAAAGAGCAGGAATTCTGTACTTATCATCTTTAATGTTAGTATATTGATGTGCATCATTAACCACAGTGATTTTGTTGTCAAGTAATTATGAATATGTGAAAAAATAATAATTAATATATGAAAAAATAAAAAATTAAAATGTTTTGAATATTCCAGTTGATTATTAGAGGTAAAAAATGGTAGGGGTGGCCAATGAATGGCTAAGGGTCACCCATGGCCCCCCATCTAGCTCCGCCTCTGGCAGTCAGTAAGAAGCTCTGTTTTATGTTCAACAGTAAAATGGAAAATTGCCTCAACTATAATAAATAAAAGGTAGAAATAGATCAAATACGACTGTGGTGTATATAATTGCTGAGGAAGACATGTAAAGGGAGGACATGCAAAAAAGCACCATCAATACAATATTGACATTTTTATATGAAGTGCTTTGTTAAAAAGGCTGTTTTAGAAATAAATGTATAACTGAATAGTAATAATTGTTATTTTTAAAAGATAATACAAATATTATTTGAAGGTTCCTCTTCAGGATGTTTCTCAAAGAGTTTTTCATGTCTGTGTTTTTTATTTTTCTCAAGGTGTTCTCTGCAGGGTTTTCTGCAGAGACTGATCTCTCCATAGAGGTTCTGGCTTGTTTAAATTAGTATGAATTTAATTGGGCTGCCATTTCCGAAATGCCAGTCTACCATAAACGGTGGAATGCTGGATAGTTTGTATAAAATATTTGAGTTTCTGGATGTTTTCTGCAAAGAACATTGAAGCTACTGCTGAGTTTTTATCCTTACCCAGCTTTGTGATTTAACACAGCTCTGTCATTCACCTTTCGAAATGAAATACTGTTTGATTTTTGTTTTAAAATACAAAATTTTTTAATTAAAATATAAATTGGTCTTAATTAAAATATAAATTGGTCTTTTTTCTGTGTCAAAATGGATGAGAAAACCTTTCTTTATGTTCTATTTCGATTAACAAAAAAAAAAAAAAAAAAGTGAAATAACTTTAAAACAGAAGCAAAAAAAGTTCTGTCTGTTCATTTTTTGAGGCTGAATGTTGTCATTTCATAAGAGCAACTAATCTCGGAGGGGGTCTTTGTAGCTGTGGCCCAGATCTAAATATTATAAGACTGACTTTGGATTTTTGACATGGCAAAACAAGGCCTGCATTCACAGATATCTCAGCACAAATATAGTGGTTGGGGAAGAAAGAGAATGTTCCGCAATAAAAGAAGAGAGGGGATTTTCCAATGAAAGCTGATGAAATGGTTTGTACTTGTCACACTTTATCAAGAAAGAGGAACCTGAAGCTATTTTCACAATAATTTATCTTTTACCCACTGACACACAGATTCACATAATATAAAAATAATGAATAATAATAATAATAAAAAAAAACTCCAACTGTTCTCTGAAATTCAAAAATGCTTTTTCGACAAATAGTCACTTATTTTTTGCCATGTTTATAAAAGGAAAGTCAAATTACCATGGAATATACCATTACAGGTATAATTTCAAAAGCTTAAAATATTGAAATAATTTCACTTTGTTGCTTTTTATTTTTTAGCAACTGTGGGGTAAAAATAAAAAATATAATTTGAAGTGCTGTTAATGGATTAAATAATCTGTTGTTTACAGCTCAGATCTACAAGTCATGTGGATCTAACAGACAACCGGATTTTGTATAGTTGGACCAATCAGCAGCGTTTTGAGATCTGCGCGTGCGCAGAGCGGAAGCTGCTTCCTGAATCAGGGTTAGCTTACTGCGCTTCGCAGTAGCTCATAGATGTAAGCTGAAAGTCAGGCTTTCTCAGCTCATTTATCTGACAACAAAGAGAAGAATAAAAACCACAGTTCAACCCGGAACCATGGATTACTGGGTATGTTTCTCTCGACTTTGTTTTCTTTTGGCGACGGACTTGTTGTTTATGTAGTAAAGTTAGCTAATAAGTTATGGATGTACAAAGGACAAATATGCACTTTATTAAAAGGACAAATGTTGAATTTTACCGCCGCTATTGTTTATCCTGCGACAAATGACAACATATAAGAAATAATAACCCAGATAATTGATTTTATATTTTTTAAAAACTTGTTTTTGAGTCGCCTGTGTGTTTTTCCTTTGATGTAGACTCCTGTATGAGGGGTTAAAGAGCATTGCTGTTGTTGATGTCAGCCAAGGCAGGTTAAAACTGGAGATCCCTTCCACTATGAACCTGCCGGAAGTCAAAACAATGTGTTATTGTTGTTATCCTTTCAGATTGGAGCATGATGTCTCCTATATGAGCACATTGAACTGTAACTGATAACCCCTCTGACTGCTGTCACTGCAGATCTTTCTGTCTCAACTCCCCTTAGATAAATCAAAACAGAAGAAAGTGGCTCCACTTTAAACATTTCAGCTTTTTTAGTAAAAAATAAAATGTTATTACACAACATTTAGTTAAATTGAGCTTATTTGTGTTGACTTATTGTGAAATCAGTGTGTCACTGCCTTGATGTGTCTCCTTCCTAAAGCAACCACCTCATATTTCCATGAGAGCACAGCCTCCTGGGAGACAACAAAAGGTCTGATTTCAGAATAGTCAGATGTTGCAGAGGGAGGAGGGGGCAAAGGAATGGGCGTCTACTGCTCAACAATACTGGGTGCATAATCCTTTGTGTAAACTAGGTTTAAGTTTTCCTGGGGCAAGGAGTGAGCTGGAGAATTATTAGTGAACATAAATGTGAAGTAAAGGGTAAAAACATTACAGCTCAGCTTTATTACAGTGGCCTTTGCTTCTAACCATTGTAGCTGTCAGGAACAGGGATACAGGTATGCTCTGTTATGTGACTTTCTTGCTGTTCCACTGGTTCTTGCCAAACCTGAATGAGGAGATACTGGTGAACAGGCAGGTATGACAGCTGTGTTCTGGTCTCCCACCCCTCTGGCTCACCGGCACCCCCTTCACTTTATTTGCCTTTAACCCTTTATAGCAGGGGTCTTTAACCTTTTCCAGGCCAAGGACCCCAAACTGATGGCAAGATGGAGCGGGGACCTTCTAATTAAATATATGTATGAAATAGTGTTAAATCAAACTGGTCCTATAGTCACTCTATTACATATGAAGTAATGTAACGAAAGTAATTTCTCCCTGGGTTTATTAAAGTAAATCTGATTCTTTTATTTTTTTATTAACAGTGTCCTGTCTGGCGACGAGGCAATAAGACTAATTGTCTTGATACCAAAAAGAGCCCAACAGATTTTACTTTCACTACTTTCACTAGTGGAGCAGTACGGCTACCGCCATAGTTTTCTGCTTGTTTCATGCATATAAATTGCTTTATTATAATTATGCAGGGAGTTTTACAGATTATATGAACACTGCAATGTAAGTAGAACAGAAGAGGAAAAAAGGAGGAAAGAGGAGATAAAAGGGAGATAATGATAAAATGTCTTCAGTCTGCTTCATCACCTGCAAAGAGATATAAAAAGAACAGCACAACCAACGGATTGGTATGAGACGTACAATAAAGTAACACCTAAATACTATCGCTGAAGTAGTATTATTTAATGTGACATGTACTCTGTGTTACCTGAAGATAAGAATATGGGATTTCTGTATGGAAGTGAATCTTTGAGTAACTGGAAAGTATTTCTGATTCTGTTTCCTGGTTGATGGGACAGGTGTTGTGAATGAAACGGTGTCCAGCTTGAAAGAGCTCCTGTGTGTCGCTGAATGTTTGCATTGATGACTGAAAGACGTCTTCTGCCTCCATTTATCTGTTTACTACAGTGTGTTTAATTCATGTTAATGTG